CCCCAAAACCCCAAAACCCCAAAACCCCGCTTGTTATATATTGAGTTTGAATTTTCATTTAAGTAAAAGAATTTATGTCAGTAAATAAATAAGTAACAATTTGATGTTTCCCAATATATTTTAAGCTCTTTGAATTAATTCAACTTAGAGAATTTTCTAGATGGGAATCAACCCCTTAAAAGCTTTGAGGCATTTTTAATTAACTTGTGATTAAAGAGAGCCTAAATATTGGATTCAATTTATCCTCTTTAAATGTATTCATTCTGAATATTGACATTCGTTTTTTTTGCTGAATAGCATTTTTTATTTTTTGCTTTTCAAATTTAGTCTTAAGTATTTTTTACTGAACTTTAGATTTATCTTCATTGAAGTCAGTGGATTTTGATCTTCTCAGCTTTTTCTTAATCTTAAAATCTCTTGGTATTAGCATATGATCAATATTTGAAGGTCTCTTTTACGCCATTTAAAGAGTATTATTATTTTTGAATGGATTAGATTTTAATATTTCAGCTTTTGATACACCCTTAAATGCTACTTTTCTGTCGTTTAAGAAAGATGAAGATTAGTGTTATTTTTCTGTATAAGCTCTAGACAATTAGAAAAATTCATCATCTTAATATTGATCAAATGTTGTTGACCTAGATCTATCTAGTTAGAGATCATCCGCTTTATCCTCCTCTTCTTCTTCGAATCTATTTTCTTATATGACATCTAAATTCTCCTATTATTCCTCCTCTGATTAGCTTTCATTGCTACTTTCATTATGGCTGCTATCACTATTGCTAAACTCATAATCTATCTTTTGTATTAAAGTATTTTAGGGTTTATTCGCTTCAGTATCAGATGATGCCTCTAATATTATTAAGTTCAAATCTATTATTACATTTTTTACTGTCTAAAATGAATTCTTAATCAAACTTGGTCTCAACCATTTGATTATCTGAAATATCACTTTCAGATTAATCAGTATCAGTATCATCATAATGCATGCCAGTAGTATGTTTAATATCCTCAAACGAATTGGCAGCACTTTATTCTATATTTATTTAAAGTTAATTCTAGATGTACTTACTCAGAATAGTATCATAATCACTTTCTGTAGAGTTAAAGTTTGTTAGCACACCTTATTAATGATTTGGTTTATCATGGTTCTAGTTTAAATATTTTATAAGAATATCTATTTTTTACATCAAGAATATCTTAAATGATTTGCCAAAAGATCAGATCGTTTTGCATATATTTCTTGCATAAATCACACTTAGTTTGAATGAAATCTGATGGTTTGCAGTTACTACATATGTCCTTGAAAAATAGCTCTATCTTAAAATTCTAGCTGTAAGCTGGGTTCTTTGATATACTATCTGGATCTAGAGCATTTTTTGTAAAACTCATATGACTATCATGATATTTATTCTTATACAATATCTTACTTATCGGTAACAAAAGCAGGGTTTAATGCGAATCTGCAAATCAATTTACACTTAAACTGTCCTCTATGCTTAATTCTAAAATAAAGATCACTGCTAAGCTGCAACGCATTTTCAATCTAAATGACCATTTTTTGCTCAAAGCTTTGAGATGAACTCGTCTATGCAGAAATTCTCTAGCTTTACTCTAGCTGCTTATATGTCTTCAAATTCATACTCTATTTATTCGACCAGATCTAAAAAGATGTTATTATGAATGAGTCAAATGAGTTTACTTATTAAAAATCTGTTCCATTGACGATCTCAACATATGGCTTGCATTTATTGGTATGATTTATTGATGGTATAGTATGAATAATGATTCTCTCAGGAGATTTTAAAACAGGACTTCTAATCACCCCTTTGTAAACCATATCAAAGTAATAAACATATCTCACTTAAGATGGCTATGTTACTCCTTTGCCATGACTAAATCTTTTCCATCCATAATATGTAATAGCATCTAGTGGATTATCTGATAAGCCACTATATATTAAGTAGCAGCTAATGAGTGTTCCAGTTCTACCTTTTCCAGCATTACAATGAACTACAACAACATTTTTCGGATTGCCTAAATTAATAAAATCAAAGATATTGCAACATTATAATATGTTTACTTTTCAAGAAGACATGCATTTTCATGCAAGCCTCAAATAAAATATGCAGGGCGGGAGAGTGATGATCCTCCCATTCGAAGTGTTCCACCATTTTTTCTCCAAATTTCCTAGTGTCATAACTTCTCCCACTCATGTTGAATATTCTGAAGTGCTTTCCATGTTTTTACTTAAGGAAATTAGCAACCTAATAAATAATATCTCTTTGAAATTTACATCATTTATGTTGTTTCTATACATCTTTTCAAATCCTGTGGCAGGAAAAGACATAGCAAGTATTCTATTGGTTATATAAGTAATATCAAGATTATATTAGGGATCTTCAAATCTTCTTCTGTTTCCGCTTACAATTTTGCGAAGCCAATCCATTAAATTAATATGTAATTTTATCAATTTATTTCAATTTTAATAATCAGCTTTAAATTTAGCTTTGACTTTGAGGGGTTTTGGGGTTTTGGGGAGATCGGAAGAGCGTCGTGT